ATCTTTATAGAAATGTTTTCGTAAATGTTTTCGTAAGTTTTAACTATTGATTTTTGTTGTTTGTCAAAAGGTCTGTTGAATAATGGCTTTCAAATCCAATTGTCCAATAAACATTTCGTTCTGATAATTGAATGTGGGCAATATATTTCCAGGATGTAATTCGGCAATTTAGCTAAATTAAAGGCAAGTAAAGCATAATAAATGTAGTACTACATTAGAGAAATGTTAAAGTTCGCTGAATAAATTATATTATTTGATTATTAGATTACTTGCAATAGTTTTGACGGAGCCTGCAAATAGTTTATATTAGAATAATAAATACATTTGTATTGTTGTAGAGCAATATTTTCGTACGTTCGATATATTTTGAAAATGACTTTATCTACAATGTTCACAATATACTATAATACGATCTTTTCCGGCGACGCCAAGGCTCACACTATTCTACTTTCATTATTTAGTTTTATGAAATTCGATCCAGCAAAGAACTGTCGCCATAATATATTCGCTTTGTGTTGGAATCCGCATGGTCGCACGCTCGAATAGCCAATCGTCTTTTTTTTTTTCTGGTCGGCCATCGATAGTAAACTTCCTAAATACGTTTCCAGAAAATTGGTTTACCGTATATTTTGGTAACGTAACATTGCAAATTAATCTAATAAATTCAACAGCGACAGAGCAGAATTTGATTCAATAATATTTTTTAAACAATAATACAATTTACTAAGATTCATATGCATGTGTTAATGAGCCCTGACAAAAGCTTCTATCTGTAAATGCTTTATCTATCGTAAAAGGTTAATTGATACGGAAAAAGGACGTAGCTAATAGAACAATTTCTTTTGATAAATATTTACATAAGACAATATTGCGTTATAACCCCCGAAATGAATAATGTAATTATAAAATGAAATCACATTTCCATTCCTTTTCCTTTTCCTTCTAATTCATTATCAACGGTATATTCTGTAATCAGCCTATATCTTCTACTAATAATGGGAGTAGCGTAGAATGTAATTTACATATATATAATATTAATTTCAGAATTTAATTAAATATTCGAAAATAATAGAATTTTACATAATAGAATATTATTATATTTATATTCTATAGAGCTTTTTTTTTTAAATTAACTCATCTTATTTCAGATATTATTATACATAAATTTATGCATATTATTTATATGAGATTCCAATTGTATATATATTACATTAAATAGTAATGGTCAATGGTAATTTGAGAAATACAAACGATGATTCACAACTACAGAGATATTTTCAGACGTACATAATATTAAGTGAATATGGAATATAAATGAAGATTGATGAAACACAGAATTATATTTATATATATTATTTTTAACTTACTTAATTCCATCCATTAGACTAATTCTGCGTCAAATAAAATGTTTACTGCAATGCACATTTTTTAGTTAATGTTAATTTATTTTATACAAGCAATTTACACGTGATGAAATATCCAAATTGTTCGAGATTTATAGAAGAACTAAAATTAAGAGTGAGTGCAAATAGGGAGAGAGAAAGAGAGAGAGAGAGAGAGAGAGAGAGAGAGAGAGAAGGCTAAGCTTACGAAAGCACTGTACCGTTTAAGTATAATGCGACTAAAACATGCTGAAACTTTCCATTTAAAAAAAAATTTTTCTTCTTTAGCGTTGTTGTAACATTATTGACATATAATTGATCTATGATGGAATGAAAGAGGTCGATTGATTTATTATTTTTCGAAGAACTATTTGATACAATAGTATCGATATTTATGCAAACATCAAAAGTTTTGTTATTATGTAACTGCTATTATTCATTACTCTATTGTATAAATAGATAATCAGTTTGGCCAATCAAGCGGAACATTTATCTCTGTATTTCTCTTCATTTTTGAAATCTTATCTGAAAGAAAGTGCAAAATATAAAGTAGAATAGAAATAGAAATAGAAATAGAATAGAAAGTAAAAATGTACGGTACGACTATGAAAAAATATAGTGTATCATAGATAATAAAATGGTACAAGTATTGTTCATTTTAATATAGCTAATAAAAAAAAATTTGGAAATTATTTAGATTGTAGCTGTAAAAGCCAATTCATGTACTCGATTGTTTTACTTACTGTTATATGGCATTTCCCTCGTTCGATTGATAACACTGAAAAACATTTGCTTGTCCTTTTCATGGAAAGTTTTTGCAGCATAGTTTTAATGGAACAACTATTATGTTTTGCGTCATGAGATCATTTTGCCATATTAAGGAATTATTAATCTACAAGAAAATTGAGTTCTTAATATTTTGATAATATCCTTGCAATTAAATTAACTATTACCATTCATGAATTCAGAAAAAGAAAACGATACGTTATTAAAAGTTAAAAATTTATTTTATGGTTAGAATTATATAATAAATTATTTCGTTTATCTTAAATAATTAATTGTAATTGATCGATATAACTAAAATTTTATATTTCCATAATGTTTAAACAGAGTTTCTATGTTTACAGTGAGGGAAGCTGGTGGATATTATTTATATAAATATTTCATCTTCTTAGATTCGCTCAATTATTCTATGTTTTTAAGCTACCTTTTCAACCAATAATAATAACAATAAATATGATAAGAAATAGCGGATAATATAATATTTGAACGGCCGAATTAATATTCAAAATTTTAACTCAAACGTCTTATTAGACTAAATAAGCATTAAATTGGATACACTTAGTGATTTAAGTGTATACACGTCCAACTTTTTTTATCCTAGCATAACGACTTACTTGATGAGGCTCTTGCTCTATTTGACGAAATCTCACGTGCAACTCGCCAACCTACTTTCACCTACTCTCGTCTTACTCGCGCTTTCTCATATTTGCCCTCTGCTTCTCTCTCACGGTCTGTGCCCCATGTTGTAACGATTAATCTTACGCCAACGGAAAAGATTGTCAACTTTTAACGCGCCATTTAACGGTGTGTAAACTTAGTCTAATATTCGCTTTTAAATTAGTAATTTAAGTTATGCACTTTGCGCGTGTATTCTAAGTTTTCCTGCCGATCTTATCCATAGGAATTAGTTAACGAATTCATATAATTTTAAGCGATTATCATATAGTTATCATATAGTAAGTGATATAAACTATAAATTTCTTTACTTTTTTTGCCTTTCTGAACTCATAAAAGTGCAGAATAAACGGGTATATTGAATAATTTTGTCTAAAGGAAATTAATTTGCTTTTCTATATGAATATATCGAGTAATTTAATTGGCAATGTAGCATTAGCTTTTCAAAGCATCTAATTGTACTACGTTAAATCGAATGTACTTATTATGTGGATTAATTGTTTATTAAGAAGGCAAACGTATAAACATGGTAAAGTTAGAGAAATATCTGCAATAAAATCCATTTGAGCAAAACGGATTCTTTCATAATTTTTCCATTGAATTATTATGTAATCTGACACCGTAGCAATTAAAAATTAAATATTCTGATTTATTCAATAACACATTAATTTACTATACAGTCGTATAGAATGGTAATATCGCTATTTCAGCGAGGATACAATCCAATGAGAACTAATTTAAATTTTAATTAAAAACGATTAAGGCATCTCGAAGAAAAATTAGCATTGTTATTCGATGTCATGAAAGCAGCCGTTTTGTACGGTAAGTCTTGTTCACTAATTCTGTTTCTCTATGCTTTTCTCAATCTCTCTATTCTTCTGTTCTTTTAGCATCGTATTCTCTCACTTTCAGTGGTAAAGTCTTGATTTAATTGACTTGCCTAACAATTAATCCAGGTCGATGGAAGAGCGATTTCTGGTCTTGGCTTTAATTTTCCTTTGTCGCATTTGGATTTTCTGTTCTTCCGTTAATTTCTTCTATCCACGAGGAAACTGCGCTGCACTCGTCTTATCTTTTTCACCTTTTATACTCTGGTTAAAGCCTTACTATTTTTGTTATCTTTTCATTTGATAAGTATTAACATTTTAGGGAAGCTAATTCACTTTAACAGAGCAACGGAAAATATTCAGTTTAAATTTTCTTAATGATTTTAGCGTAAACTTTTCAATAATTTGATAAAAACATCGTTATGAATTATCTATAAACGTAATAATGAGTTATTTATACCATAATAAGCAAAAAAGAATTGATTTATTTCTTTGTAATAATTATTTTCTATAGCACGATCGTAATACGAATAAAACTTGTATAACTCGATTGATAAGACTATTACTACTTCTTTTTTTCTCAAACGAAGTTTTAACAATATTATAATAGATATAATTTCAATTTAATTTATACGGTATAAAGTTATTCGGAAAAATTATTTTCTTCGTAATTTTAATTGAATAATAATATACTTAAGCTGTCCAGAACGTTTTTTTTCATGTTTTATAATTAAATTATAAGAGCCGAATAATGCAATGATATTCATGATAAATAGCTAGTAAGAACTGAACATATTAAAGATTTAAACAAAAAATCGATTATTATTCTGATCTCATATTACGTCAGAAATAGTTGGAAGTCAGACATTTAGAAAGAAAGATGATGAGCAACGAATAGCCCATTAAAATGACAAATATTTGCTATTTAATAGTGCAGATATAAAATTGAAAAAGACGAACCAACGCCTGCTAATATTATTTATTATTAAAGTGAAATAATTTGTATTAAATTAGAGCATTTAGCGTATAAATAATGACGATAGTTTGGCAGTTTAAGCTTGGATCAAGCCCAATTGTGCACGGAGTCTTGTCGGATTAATCCTTAAAGCTCCAGGCACCCGATTGGACATGAATCCAGATAGAAATGGATCGCACCCAAGTGGCGACTCATTTTAATCGAATGAGCCGCGAGTGTCTCCCTCCTAACGTAAATGAAAAAAAAAAAAAAAAAAACCTTTCTTTTGTGGCGTCAAGGACGCTAACGATTAAGGCTAACAGTCGTACGAACCGTGTGTTTTCAGATTGGCTGGTGGGGTTGTCAGATCGAGCGGCCGGCCGAGTTGGCGAGGAATATGCCGGGAAGTGGTGCGGGGGCGAGTGGAGCCTCGGATTCGCTAATCGGCAACGAGACTCTAGCCCCGATGTGATCGCCGTGCTCGAGGAGTTAATCAGAGCCGATCGTCCGAGATCGCGAGGGAGGATGAGGTTCCCGTGCCGCTCCAGGGAGCCGGGTGAGCGATAGGTCGAGTGCTCGAGTGTTCGCTGAGAGAGTGTCGGCTAAGGGGGGCGGAGGTCGTGGTGGGGGTGGCGTAGCAGGGCAGAAGGTGTGATGGTCTCGGGGTGGTGTCCGTGCGTGCCCCTGGGGCGCCGGGACGCGCCGCCCCCGACGCAGCAGCAGCAGCAGCAGCAGCAGCAATCGGGGCAAAAGACTTGGCGGAGCGTAGGGCCATTCACCGTCAGCGCAGCCACTGATCGCGCAGAAATGGTTCAGATGTTCTACTATGAGAATCGTGGAAAATGTTGCAAAAAGCTATTACGGTATAACGGCTATCCTAACAAGGTTAGTTGAAATCGATATTTATTTATCTTTATTCGTGTCTTACCTGCCAGGGGATGACGACGTGTCTCCTTAAATGGTTAAAGGATATAATTAAAGAATACAATTTTTTTTTAACGCTGTAGCTGCATCAATACATAATGCTTTTCGTTATGCTCGGAACTATAAAAAAAGAAAAAAGAAAAAAGAAGTTAATTATCGTTACTTAAAATCGTTTGTTTTATGAGTTATTGTTAGCTGTCTAACGTCACAGCAACTTTTGTACAACTTTTGTATAGAGATAATCAAACAAGAATATTCAGGTATTATTTACAATAATTGCGAAAATAGTTTCATAGTATAAAGTCATCTGTTGCACACTTATTGCTTAAATGTTGCTATTTCAATTTTCAAGTTATAAAAATGACGCGGAGCAAATGACAGTAAAACTTAAGATTGTCCTGTTTAAAAGCAAATATGATATTGAAGATAAATGAATTATAATTTAATTTCTCTTTTTGCGATTATTTACATAATTTAATCTATCGATGCATTCGCACACATCAACATCCACACCTAAATCTATATTATGTGCGAATACTTGCAACTGATCGTCTATTAATTTTTAATTTTTTATTAATAATTATAAAAAAAAATGTATATATATATATATTTTTTTTTTTTTTGAAGATATTGACAATATGAAATTTTTTCTAATACATTGTAAACGTCTATATACATATTATAGATTACGTGATAAATGAAGTTATTTGATAAGAAAATTAAACGAGATAATGTTAAAATAAATAGTTATGCCAGAGAAAAAACATTAATTATTTCTTTTTTATTATTGCGTCGTTTTATTATTTATTAATTTACAGAATAAGACTAAGCTTATATACGCTATAATTTATAAGATATACGCATGATAATATAACTTTGCTTGTTAAGGCGATGCGTCCGTCGCTGTTCGTGATCATCTTACATTGCAAAATTACGAGCAAACTCGTTAATTTCGTCGAAATTTAAAGCGCATAAAAGAACTTAAGGAATATTTTCAATTACCATCAGATAATTATATTAAATCATACATTATTATATAATGTTTTCTAATGTTCATTACTATTTTCTTTCTTTTTTTTTTATTTATTAACTCGTTTATTAAGTAGTTGAATTAAATAATGTAATTATGGAATAGAACGTAATAATACACTTAAAGGGTTAAAAGTCATTTGAATTTACTTTACAGAATTTAATTATCGTCCTCGAAATAGTAATTAATAAATTCAAATATAATGGTAAAATTTAAATATTACACAGGGCCAATAATTAGGCCCTCGTCCATCAATTTATATTTCAAATGAATTTTTCATCTGATTTTTTAACAATATTTTATCGGTGCCATATTTTCTATTGTTATTCTTTCATATCAGCATGTTTTATCTTTGGGACTTGACACCTATGGCCCTCTGGAGATGAAGGCTTTTTTTTCAGTGCCAGTAAGACATCGATGCTATGTAATCGCGAAAATAATTCGATTTTGCATCTTTGTGGATGAATTTGGATGAAGAGGAGCATGGATAATCGAAGGTCTAGTGGAAAATTTACGCTAGAACGGAACGAGCGAATTTACATAATTTCTCGTATACGTCAAGTTTTCCTTCTACGCTGTATGCCCGGGCAGCAATCACTTTGTGATTAAAAAAATTATGAAAATTTTAAATAAGAAAGTGTGAAAATAAATAGCAAAATAAAAGCAATTGCCTATCATGACTAATTTTCAAAATAATAGAAAGATATCTTGATAATTTTTTTTTTTTTTTTTAATAGACTATGCATTCTTCAGCTGCTTTCCAATTTGAAGAAATTGTGTATTTCGCTTCTTTTTTCGAAACTAATTTGTAATTATTATTCGGTATATCAGCTTCTTGCCTTTCTTTCCTTTATAAAGCTACTGTAAATTGCAAAGAAATTTGAGTGCAATTTCTAGTGATGTATTCTGTAAAGCAGAGAAAATATGTTCATTGGATTGGCTGTCTATCCTATTCATTTCTAATTAAAGCAATTTATATTTAAAAAAATATTTCAATAGAAAATACGCTATTATCACAATTACCCAATAAATTATCTTTATTAATTTAAATTAAAAAGCTCATTTTTATGTTATTGTTTATGCTTTATCGATAATCCTTTAAGCAAAAAGGCACATATACTGCGAAACACTGCAGACTATTTGAATTGTCAAAAGAATTATAGTTTCAGAGTATAATTCGAGTACTATGATAAATCCATTCTATCTAATTTCTATCTAATAAAAGTACATCCCTTATATATTATAATATCTAAAATGGTAGAATATGCATACACTAATACGTGTATTTCGCAAATTATTCTTAACAAATCATTATTAGTGCTCTAGAGAGAGAGAGAAAAAAAATTTGATATTTTGCATAATAAAATGGTTATTTTCTCCAATTACGATTATCTAATTTTTATCAATACGCTATATAAAACTAGTATTTGTAGTATTGAATTGCAGCAAAAGATGCTCGCAAATTTAAAAGCAATAGCAAAGTGAAGCACGAAGAAATAAAAGGCGTATAGTGGCTTTCGAATTTCCTGTTTACTTTTTTTACGTAGCCTTCGATGTCTAAAAGTAGCCTGACATTAAGCTCTTCGATGGTCGGATTTTTCGGATATCTAACTTTCGAGCAAGAGTTTCTTATCGCTGCAATATAGTATCTGTGACAGAAATGAAAGTAGAGGCTTATATAATCTCGCGAGCGGAGCATACTCGAACGTACGTGTGCACGGAGCCGAGGTTAGGAAATTTACGCGTCAGGGAGATTGTATCTTATTTTCAATGCTGTTTGTATGTATAAAGTAGGCTAAAGAAAGAAAAGAAAAAAGAAAAGCGACGGTTGGAATTAATTCGTAAAAGATGCGCGTAATGGGAATTTTTTTTTTTTTTTTTTTTTTTTTTTTGAGTATTCAACCATTTGCTGCCGACGGTAATAAATGGAGGAAGAGAGAAGGGAAAAAACAGATTGGCAAGATAGAGTTGGTCGTCGAAGGGGTGTGATACGGGCGTTGGCTTGGTGGAGTGAGGGGTAAGGATGTAACAAGCTCAGCCGGAGCGGCGTAAAAGCGAAATTGAATTTTATTGGCTTTTTGCGAAGTTGAAAGGTCTTGCGCCGCTTAGATCGCAATTTTACTTCCTCTTTACTAGTTCTTCGACAGTGAAGAGTCGATCTATCGAGAGCCGATAGGGTCAAGTAAATCCATTGAAATAACTAGTGCATTACCAATTTTCAGCTTCGTCCACAAAAGTCTAGTTATTATTGAGCATTTTTCAGTTTCAACATAAATATGCATGCGATTCAGATAAGTAAGATTTATGCGCGATACGCTGTTGTCCTGAAAAGTCTCTAATTACCCTCAAACGATAATCGAATGTTAATAGCTTAATAATTCCCGGGGATACGAAATTTGTCCGATTCGTCGCAAATAGCCGTTTATGATTTATTTCATTTTAACATTCAAATACATAATGTTCTCGAACGACTAGTTAAGTAAAAAATTAATATTTCGAAATTTTAAACTACGTGATACTTATCTCATTGATTTTTATCAATCTGACTCCCTGTTATGGACATATGCAATGCCATAACTCCTTTCCTATTATTCATTGCCGCATATATTTTACTTTAAAAGGGCTAAAGCACTGTCACTAAGCTCGCATATTTTACCTACGATCTTTGATTATTTAATAATAATAATAATAATAATAATAATAATAATAATAATAATAATAATAATAAAACAAGTGCGAGAATGCAATACCTTTTACACTGTTGTACAATCTATCTTACTATTACCATACTATTTTTACACGAAAATTGATAAATCTTGAATATATGGATGAGATTAAGCAAACATTATTCCAATAGGCCTATACTGTACCTAATGAAGGAGCAAATTCTCGCAATTCCTTAAAATCCAATCTATCCATTTGACCTCCACTCGGGCCCACTTTGCATTTACTTACCTGACAATTTACAAACTGGCAGAATTAAAAATTCGTCTGCCCCAGACTTTAAGTATCATTGTGGCGGTCCTATGATTGCCTTCAGCGACGGAAAGTGGCTCGCGCGATGTATCCCCTAAGAGGATCCATGGCTCTGCAACAACTCTACATTCTCTCTTGGGAGAGGGGATTGTAGGGTCGTATCACTTAAGTTAGCTGTTGAATTACGTGATTATAAGAGAGGTAGTGTTTTGAGAAATATTCACGTGCCCGTAATAATGGATTATGCGTCAGTTATAATTAATATTAACCACACGCGTAATTTCATCGAATTATGTTGGCAAATGACCGATGTACCGACGACCGACGACCGACGATTACTTTATACACGTCTATGAATACGCTTTCACCTAACAGCAGATCGTGGCATTTTTGTTTCTTCTGAACCTAAAGAGCAGGAGGCTTAGGAGAACATTTTACAAACATTAAAACGGTCATACATGGCTATGGAGGCTATTAAGTTCTCGGCTCATTTATCTATCGTCAAATTCAATTGGCCCACGTCGCGAGTACAAAAGAAGCTGAAAGCGAGTCTGTATATAAGCCATCGAGAGATAAATCGACTCGTTATCCGGATAGCCATTATCCGAGGAGTCGCCGCGGACAGAGTGAAGTTACTTTAGACAAGGAGCTGGGAACAAGGGGCGGGGGTGGTGGTCTTGGAGTCACGTCTTGGTCATAGCGCCTCGAAGAACTAGGCTAATGCCTCAGAGAGTTCCGAAACTCTTTCATATTTCGAGGGCACGCGGAATTTTCTTTCAATAACCGTTATTATTCGCCAAGGCCATTTATTATCGGCTCAGGAGTCGCCTGTCTCGCGGTCTCCTTCGAGCCGTGCGATACCGCTCTCTTTTTCTTTGATGGACCCTTTTCGTTCATTTCCTGAAAAATCGACGACCTATTTTTTTCTTTTTTCTTTTTCGTTATTATTTTTTTT